GTTGCGCTATTTAATAGCTAATCAAGGACCTTTGTAAAAGGGCTCAAATATATATTGGGAACTGGAAGATGCTTGATGGTGTTTTGCCATTTAAGGCCAAAAACGGTACAGCTTCTCGCCCTCACGTAATTTCTGTTGAACAGGTCCCTGTATGTATGGGCCTAAAAACGTCGCCTTTGTCCCACGCTTTGACGTATGACCCTCTTTGCATTTCTGCATTAGAGCCCAGTGGCATTTGTACGCGCAAGGGGTTTAGGGTCAATGAAGACTAGGATTAACAGTCTAATGATGATACCCTCCTGTCACACCTTTAATGGTGTTGTATGTTGCCCTCTGATGAGATACAGTAACTGTTCTGCAAAGGTTTCTGCAACCATAAGAAAACGGCGACTTCTGGCAAGGTTGGATTACTATGCGCCGCCTGACAGATGCTCATGGCGAGCGTTTCAGAAAGGGTTACACTGCCAAGAGTTAAGTCCAAGTATATAAATACGACTCTGTAGCTAGTGTCTTTGAGAGTGCGATTCAGAGTGATTTAGGGAATCTATTGAGTTTCTTGTACAAAAATTCTGAACTTCTTCACAGACACTGTGGAATTTTGTGTTTTACATCAATTCAAATCGGTCACAGTAAAAGTTCTTGCGCTAAATTGCAACCCGTCTGCAGTGCAAGCAATTTATCGGAGTTTTGTTTCAATGCACTGTCGTTTATGAGACATTCTCACTTGGCAGTTTTAGAATTCCAGAGATTTTTAATTCGTAAAAGTTTAGTTTGTTTGTGTCTGGCTTTTTCACAATTATTTAATTTTTTTATTTGTTTAAGGAAGCCATTCTTTCTTTATAATCATTCTACAGTAGTTATATTAGAGAAGAAGAGTACCTTCACTCTCGCTGTATTGTTTGAAGCTTGTTTTAAATGAGCATGTTACTCTATCAAGTCGCTGTATATCTAACTGCAAGGATTGAAAACGTTATTAAATGTCTTTTGTAGAAGATACTGATTTGTTCGTCATTTGACGACATAGATATTAAGTAGTCGGTTTCGGAGGTCGAAGATTACCTAGTGCTTAGGCCTATTTAAGAAACTATTAGTGA